AAGAGAGGAAGAGAGGAAGAGAGGAAGAGAGGAAGAGAGGAAGAGAGGAAAGAGAAGACATGAGGGGACGCGGCGGCTTTGGCAGGGAGGTCCTCTTGGGAAAGCTCGCTTCCCACAGCAATCTATGGCGACGAGTGCATCGATAGTCTTCTTGTACTGTACAGTACAGTGGAGACTCGGCATTATTTACAGTACATGCTCGAATAATGAGGACAGGTGGTACTGTAGATTTATTTATTTATTTATTTATTTTTTATTACTTCATAGTCTGTCCCAGCCGCTCTATAGCAGCTATGCAGTGGTTCGACTAAAGTCGGGACGTGTATGCTAGGCCAATCACAGCACACCCTGGGCGTATGAACCTTCCACGTCCCTCCTAAAAATCTTAATAATAGTTCTGTGTCTAAGTACGAGTCAGGCCTGTTCCAGCCCTTCTTTGCCTTCTGTGTAACAATATGCACTCTTCTGCGCTCGCGATAGTACTGTGGAAAGCGCCACGTTGGAACCGGGCGCACGGTTCCCGGTGGCGCTCCCGACTTGCTTCTGTCTGTTTGTCTTTTCGTGCTGGGTAGCTGAGCCTGTTGCTGTCCGCAGCACCGATGAGGGGCGCGCTGCATGAAGTGCCGACGTGACTGTGTTGAAAGTACGTAAATGACTCGGGGCTTGCTCTTTGATGGTGTCTGGGTCATTGCTGGCTTGCGGCAACTTAGACGACGCCAGCAACCCGACGCGTTGCCAGTGCGTCAGGTGGGAGTGCCGTGCTCGATTGTGAGCCAGCTGTGAGGGTGGCCGAATGTGAAGTATCTTGTTTGGTAGGCTTCGAGCTGGTGGAGGTTTTGTTGCAGATGTGGTATAGACTCGTTCCGTGATGGTGTAGAGAATTGAAACTGGTATTTGTGTGGTGACGGCGGGCTTTTGGACCCGTCGTTGGGACTGTGTTGTGTTCTGTTGTGTTCTGTCGTGTTCCAGAAGGCCTGGGGATGCGGCTGGACACGATGCCGAGGGCAGTCGCGTCGCCCAGGGATGGATTCTGTATGGTTCGTGGTTGTGATGTGTAGAATGCTGTTGCGCTTGTATACCTCTGTCGCGCCTGTGTCGCGTCTGTTACATACTTCGATGCCGTAAACGCTGGTCGGGCAGGACAAATGGAGTACCCAAGTCCATTTTCCATCGCGGGGCGTACGCGCGAGAGCTCTCACCTCTTCGCGCTCGTACTGGGACTGTAATGTGTGCTGTTTCGTGAGGTGCGGAGGCTCGGATTTCGGCGCGTCGACGCGTCGCAGGGAGGGAGATAATCGCGTCGCTGAGCTCCTCTTCGCACTCAGAGACAGCTGGACTGTTTCTCTGAGAGATCCCAGCGGACACCACGGGGAGGTGGGAGCTCGTCGTCCGCCGGTGGTACTGTAGATTTGGGAACGGGGAGACGATTTTGAAAGGAGGTTCCGGGGTAGAAGCTAATTATAACCTGTAACAGCTGACCCACTTCGGATGTGACTGGTATCTGTCAACTGTCGAGTTTGGTTGGCTAATCCATTTGACGCTATGTTTTCAGCGAAGAATCCTGTGGACCAATGCTCATCACTTAACAGACTTGGCCTCCTCAGCTACTGTACTGTATAGCTTGCGCATCCTTCTAACGAAGATCATCGTATGAGGGTACAGTACAGTAACTTGTTGCGGAACAGGCTATAGAACTCCAGTTTCTCGAAGTCAGCAGGACTTTGAGGGTCGTCAAATGACTGCCGTAATTTCGCATCGAGATCTGCAGTCGATAATATGCTTTGCGATGACTCTGGGTCGAGAACAATACGATACAGTACTCATCCTCGTAGCCGTTTTCCGCCTCGGACGATGCCCACTCGTAACGTCCACATGCCTTTCGTCCTCGTCCGACGGAGGGGCGTAAGAAGGGCGCTCGGCCCGCGCCGGTCGTAATTTTTCCCATCAGTATGTCTCATCGTCTTCGGCGCTGGAATCCACCACCTCGTGCGTCAGGCATGACTGACACTGCGGTGCTTCGTCGTCGCGGCAGTGCCGCGGGTGAGGGAACCTGTCCAAGAATCGATTCAGCACAGCACCCATACAGTGGTTCGACCCCACGTAACGCTGCAAAGCCCGCTCCAACAAGTGTCGCTGATCCCACTCGACCTCCCACTCCCTACCGGTCACCGGGGTGAATGCTCGGGCAACACGTCCATACTCGCTGGCGGCAGACCTCTGCTTTCCAAAGTGCTCGGCCTCGGACCAAAGGGCCAGAAGGCACCAGCTCCGGATTCAGGTCGTGCTCAAAAGTAGCGATCACGTGCCTGGTGAGAGAGGGCGCGCTCAAAAGACCGTGTCAGACACACCTGCATGCATCGGCAAGGCTGAAGGCGTCGTTCTCGGGAAGATCCGTTGACCCCACCGCGGCCCGCCAATGTCCTGGCGAACTAAGCTTGTGGCATCACGGGGGGTGCTCGGCCTCGCTGATCTACCCGGAGAAAAATCGATGTGCAGGCTGCAACTACAGTATCATGCACAAATAGCAACTTTGTCGAATTAGCCATGTGGTCTCGTGGACGACACCGGCGTGCCGCAGTGTAGAGAGGAGTAGGGATGCCTGCTGTTATTGGTTAGTCAGGGTGGGACGGTGATGGTAATTGATGGGTGATGCTGTACGTGCCGAAGTGCGAGCCGTTTCATCGCCCCGGGCATGTCAGGACGTAGGGACCCACGTTAGATCGACTTTGCAAGGCTCTGTACAGTGACTGTTCCATTCTAGCGTTACAGTCATCTACGGCTTCGCTTCGACCGAGCCTCGATCATATTGGAGCTCCTCGTTCCAAACAGCTCTGCTACTGAGTCCTCGAGGTCTGTGCGAATATCAATTTCCCCTTCCGGGATCAGTAGAATGGTGTTCTTCCCGTCATCAGTCGCAGCTTGGAAGCAGCGTTGTGGAGTAAGGATATTCAAGTCGGCATCGAATAGCCTTATCCGTTTTCTCATGTGCTTCAATGCAACTCGCTCAACCACAGAGGGATTGGAAGGATCTACATCCAAAATCTGAGAGGCTCTCCAGACTCCACGTTCAAGCACATAGTATGTAATGCGAACAAATTTTGAAGTCTGCAAGAATCAGGGAATTTGATAGTGACGACGGAACAAAGCACATACCTGCTGGTTTCCGGTGTCTTTTTTCGACGACGCCTGCGGGTCGTTGGTTGTTGGGGGCTTCTGGGCTGATTGCGGACTTGGATCTGTTGGTCGACCACAGTCCTGGTCAACGTCAGGTACACCCGGTAGAAGACTCTCCAAATCCAGTTGAGTGTGCCGATGCGCATTTCGCTTTGACTGCGTCGTTTGTGGTTCACGTTTCTCTTGCTCAAGCCGCTCCTGCGCGTGCTCTTCCTCCCCGCGTCCTTCCTCCCCGCGTCCTTCCTCCCCGCGTCCTTCCTCCCCGCGTCCTTCTTCCTCGCTCTGTTCGAGCCCTTCTTGTTCGAGCCCTTCTTGTTCGAGCCCTTCTTGTTCGAGCCCTTCTTGTTCGAGCCCTTCTTGTTCG